TATAGTTGAGCCCACCCATGGTGAACCCGATGATGAAAAGCGCCAGCGAGATCAGCATCAGCACGATGCCGCCCTGTTGTCCGGGCGTGTTGGACATGATGGCTTGTGGCGGATAGAGCGTCCAGCCCGCCCCGGTCGGCCCGCCGGGCACGAAAAAGCTTACAACCAGCACCAGCACGGCAAGCAGGTAGATCCAGTAGCTCAGCATATTGGCATAGGGGAACACCATATCGCGTGCCCCGACCATCAGGGGGATGAGATAATTGCCGAACCCGCCCAGAAACAGCGCCGTCAGCAGATAGACCACCATGATCATCCCGTGCATGGTGATGAACTGGTAATAGACCTCCGGGGTGATGAAGGTGAACGTGCCGGGAAAGCCCAGCTGCAGCCGGATCAGCCATGAAAGCACAAGCGCGACGAACCCGATCCCGAACGCGGTGACGGCGTATTGCACGGCAATCACCTTGGCGTCCTGGGAGAAGACGTATTTCGTCCACCAGCTCCTGGGATGGTAGAGTTCCATTTCCCCGAGTTCGGCCGGCGGTGCCGACGCGCTCGCATCATGGGGGATATTGGCCATTTGCCGCCTCCTCACTGCCCTTTTGGGGGATCGATCACGACGAAAACGCCGCGAACGTCATTTGCCCCGCCAACCACTCGTCATATTCGTCCTGACCCACGATGCGGAGCCCGCCGCGCATGTATGAATGCCCGGTGCCACAAAGCTCGGCGCACAGGATCTGGTAGGTTCCCGGCTCGGTGAGCGTGGCCCAGAAATAAGTCACCGACCCCGGAATCATGTCCATTTTGGCCCTGATTTCCGGCACGTAGAAATTGTGCAGCACATCGACCGAGCGAAGCGCGAAATGAATCGGCCGGTCGGTGGGCAGAACCAGTTCCCCGCCGACGATCATGTAATCGTCCTGCCCCGCCGGATCGTCGGGATCTATGCCCAAAGGGTTGTCGAAGGTGACGAAGCGATTGTCCGCGCGCCCCAACTGCCCGTCCGCCCCCGGCAGCCTGAAATTCCACAGCCATT